TCTTTTCTGAATTTGTTAACAAGGAAAACTATAACTATCTAGTCTTCAACTCCCTCAGAGACCTGAGAAGAAAATAATATTAACTGAGTAAGCAGGAAGTGCAAACAAGCGACTTCCAAAAAATGTGAGAAATGACAGAGACAGCCGGCTGCCTGGACAGTCACCCGAGGTTCCTCTGCAATGTTGGGGCATCCACCTTTGGCCTACAGGACTAGACTATCTGACAGATCATCTGTGAAGCAGGATTTTCTAACGGCCTTCCTAGCTTGTCTTGTAAAGGTTCAGCAGTCCATTCTTCTGTGTCCTGCTTGTCCATTTGGAAAGCATACTGTCAGCAGTTGAGGCAAGGGCACTTTCTTGCCCAGTGGCTTTTGCTACAAAGAAAGTAAACTCCATATGGAGTTTCTCTGATGCCCATCATCTTCTCTGAAGTAGATTGGTGCTGCTAGGAACAGACATGTCTCATAGTCTGAGTGTTTCCCCATGGCAAAGGTAAAGGATTACCTTGTCTGTCCCTTATTGATTTACATTTGTTAGTCCAATGTCTGCCTTTGCCACACCTTCTGCATAATCCAGAAGGGAAGGGTGTTCTGTTGTAAAGGGTGTTCTGTTTATTCCTTAAAAAAACATTGTTTTTAGGGATGTCCTGTTTACAGTCCCCTTTTAGGTGACCTTTTTTACGCAATTGAAACATCTGACATTACTATTTTTCCTTAAACCTCTGGAAATCACCTCTCTTATCCAAGCATCATCATGATTGTGAGATTCCATATTTATTGTATCTCAGATCCATTCTCTCCAAGTGTGCTGATCTTGCCTTCAATGGCCTAATTATCCTTTTGCATTGTGCATTAGCATTTTCAAAAGCCAGAGATTCAATTATTATCTGCCTAGCTTCTGAATTTAGTATCATTCTATTTACTGCTGAAGTCAGTCTTTGTAAATCAGTGAAGGTTTCTTTTGGGCCCTGTATAACTTTTGAAAATGACTGAATTTTCTTTCCTACTTCTTCAATTCTGTCCCAACCATTCAAGGCTGTCATGTTGCATAAAGCTAGGGTGTGGTCATTATATAAAGATCATCTTTGTATATCAGCATAATCACCTTCTCCAAGAAGTTGATCTTGGGAGATTTCAAGACATCTAGCCCTACTCTGTTGTTCAATGGTCTTAGCTTCATTCATCCTTCCACCAGGTCCTCCATTGTAATTGGGGACCAGCCTCAGGTCTGGCTGAGCTCTGTAACCAAATCTTTCCAGTCTTGAAGAATAATTCTAATACAAGTTGACCATGACTTTAACATCTGCTTCACAAAAGATGAGAAGATGTCATATTGAGACTACTGCTTCTTTGGATCTCCACAAATCTAACATTTGCACAGGAGTCCAGTCAGCTCTTATACAGCCTTGAGGATATCTATCACTGGGTAGTTCCTATAAGGTTACTGGATAGATTAAGGTTGGCTGTTTGAAAGCCTTAAGCTGTTTCTCTGTAACCTTATAATGCAATGTTAAGATTGGTTCTCCTTTAAATTCTTCTGTCTGGGTCTGAACATCTCTATGATCTGTTTTAACAAGTTTTTCTAAAACTTTTAGCTTGATACTCATATTAACCAACTTTTTAAATGATCAAACAAATAATATTTATAATTGACATTATATCTATCCCATTAACATTAATTATCCTCTCATTTAATTGTTCCATTTTTAGAGCATTTAATGTATAGTCAAATAGAGATAAAATGCCTTCGATTGTAAAAATGTTTCTCATTTTTTCATGTGGGGAAAAAGCTTTAATTCCTCCCTTTAAGAACTCTGGGGCCGGGCGTTGGTGGCGCACGCCTTTAATCCCAGCACTCGGGAGGCA